CACATGCTACATGTCATTTACAATCCAACTCTATTCCACTTGCCAAATTTTCTCTTTACAGTAGGTTCATCCTTACTCTTTCTCATTTTATTTTTTGATCTTCCTGACATAGGTTTCAACTTAGGAGGGTAAATTAGGTCATCCAATCTTGTTAGCCATAATTTTCTTCCCCTAACTGGTTGTAGAACTAGACTGTAACTTTATGTGTATTTGTCCTTGTTGTATCATTCAGATATGTAGGTGTGAGGGTCTTTTTATTAATGGTACATTGCACAGATAACATGACAGCATGGAATTCCAGTCAATTCTCATTCCCTGTAGGTACATGTATGGTTTCTCAAATCCACCGTGTGTTGATCTGCATCATGAGTCACTTCGAATCCCTATCACTATTCCAAACCAAACTATACTCAGTGGATTTGTTCATATGTCTCTCAAATTTCTCTATAGCCTTGGGTGAAATATTTGTTGGCCACTTATCTTTCCAAATTCTCTTGACATGCATTCTTTGTGTAACCATTTTCCTGATTTCTTCAAGCATGTTGATAATAGGATAATATATTACCTCAACAATCCATCCATTGAAGGCTTTTTTCATGTTATTATCGATCGTATCACACTTGGACATTCTAGAGAAATATGCACAACTCCAATGACATGCATGAACAACCAGAATATCATTAGTTGAATTGTTACCCATTTCTTCAAGCTTTTTCAATTGGTCATCAAAATCTTCAAAATAACTAGCTCTAATACAATTTTAAAAATGGATCTTCCTATTAACACCTTTTCATTTTTTATGCCAATTAGCATAAATGTGTCTTGTCATCCTATACTCCATGTGAGGAAAATACTTATTCAATATTGGAATCAAATCCTATAACAAAAATATTATGATAATTAGTATATATCTAATCCAAATGTAATAATTATTATTAAACAAAACAAATTGTTTGTTATACCTTTTGTTGGTTTGACATTAATGTCAAACCTTCGCCATTTGGATGATTTAAGTTATCCATTAGCTTGGTGAGGAATCATCATGATTCCTTACATTCACCTTCCACAACTGCCCATGTTACTGGATACATTTGGTTATTATCATCACTTCCAATTGCAACAAGAAGTTCACCTTGAGTCATTAATTTCAGAAAGCATCCATCAACTCCAATAAAGTGTCTACACCCTTCTTTCCAACCTAAAAAGCATAATAAGTTAAATTAATATATATTTTAAAAATATGAACCAAATGTAATTTAACATTGTAAATGTGAACCATATATACCTTTCATGAAAGCAACAAAACATATATACATCCTATGAAAAATTGCCTTGTTCTCGTTATCTCTATGAACTTGAATTGAGATTGTACTTTCAGGATTGCTTCGAACCAACTCAGTAGCATACCCCCCATAGGTTCGTATGTTTATCAATGTAAGAACCCCTTTTATTTTAAAGCACCATTTTTCTAGCTCTTTGACACTGGTTATAGCTAGCATATGCACCTAACTCATTCTTACACATCTTTCTCAAAGTATCAACTTTTATTTTTGGGTCACCTAAAATCATGTCTTGAAATCCCATCTCAATAAACTTAGAATTTACCATTTTGTTCTTATTTGTCTTAAAACACTCATGAATAGGATTATATGTTTTCATAATAAGACAATCAAACCTAAGATTAAAGCTGGCAAATAATAACCTAGGAAAACTTTTCATGCACATCACTCTCACTCTTTTTTGTTCACTTTTGATGAATCTTAAAGAAACAAACTTTACAATAGCATATTTTCTCATTGTTTTCTTGAACTGAGTGTGATATGTAAATCTAAGTCCAACTTCCCATAAAGGAAATTTACAAGCCTCATCATATGCATTCCCACTCTAATGATTTCATTGTATGCTTCACATACTCTGTCCTCCTCATTATATGTATCATTATACTCCCCTGGATCATCTGACTCTAAGTAATCACTCTCATGACCTTCTAATTTACCAATTGTCTCTTTCATTATATATGCTTCTACTGCGTTATTTTTAACAGCTATATCATAATAATTGTCTTCACTATTACTATTATTATTTGTATTATCACGGTGTTTCAATGTTTCCCTAATTAATTCAACTTCTTCATCTACATCAGAAGTTATTTCAACATTCAACAAAAAATTATGAGACTCCTCTGACGTTTCTTCATCAGCAATACCAACTTTATAGAGGTCTGCATCATCATCATTGATAATATCTTTAATTTCAGCGGTGTTTACAACTTCATTACATACCATATTTTTTATATTTTCCATTCCAACATTTTCTTCTTCAAAACCAGTGTCAACAGTGTTAATAGCTTCATCAGTTACATCTTTTTCATCTTCAAGACAAAGTTCATTAATGTGCACAGTGGCAACACCTTCAGTTCTACCATTACCCTCAACAATGTCATCATTGTTTTTGGCTAGAAGAACCAATACCCTCAACTACCTATTTACTTCTTTTATAAGCTTCACATACCATTTAATTTTGTGTGTGATCCACATAAGAGTTAAATACACCATTTCTGTTCAGAATCCCTAAACATTGCCTAATCAATTCATCATTTATCACTATCACCAATACATTATTGTTGAATGTAACATCTTGTATCTTATAGTACAACCGTGAATCAGAGGCATACCCTGGATCCTTCATATTCCTAATTAAATCCCAATAACACAATATATCGGGATCAACTTGAAACTTTTCAACTTTTTTATTTATATACTCAAATTTAAGTGAACCTACAAATTTACCTCCATTATAATATTGTAACACAAAAATTTCTGGTTCGGTATCCATCATGTAACACAACAATCCCGATGTTAACAAACACATTAACAATTTAATAATAGCATCAAGTTTTAATCATCTTAAATTAAATTATTAAACAAATACAAACAAGGAATCTTTGTATTTTTTAAATGGAAAAGCATAGGGACCATGGCAAGAATCTAAGTACATTTTCAATACTTTTTGGGTCAAAAGCATGGGACCATGGCAGGAAAAAGAAAGAAAAAAAATGGCCATGGAAAATTATGTTAAAGTGTATATCAACCAAAAGAAAATAAATTTTTTTGTTGCTGTTCAATTAAAAAATTCAGACATATAAAACTATCTCAAATCAACAAAACCTAAATCCAAAACAATGAAATACTACTTAAAACCTTAAAACTTACTGTTCCTTGGTTGCTCTAACACAACCCTCAAGCTTTCTCTTTTGATTATTCACAAATCTACTTCTTATATCTCGCTTGCTTTTAATTTTTTGGCAGATGTCTTACTTTTAGTTAAAGATGTTGTTGAGTTAATCGATTGACGAATATGGCCAATAGGGGGTGAATTGGCAATTAAAATTTTGGTGGAAGCTTTTGGAGAAAATTGAAAGTAATTGCACAGCGATTTAGAGTGGTTCGACTTTCTCAACCAAAGTCTACGTCCACTACCTTAGCTATCCACACTAAGGATTTTCCAACAAATTCACTAATTTGTTCTTTCTTTTGAGGACAAAGAGTAACCTTACAACTCCCTCAAGAATTATACCCCAAATTCTTGAGCACACTCTTTTTCAAAGAGAAATACACAAATTTGCAAACTTACAAGGAAAAACCTCACAAGGCAAATATGTTTGCACAATTCTAGAACAAAGAAAGAACACTCAAGAATAAATACAATTGAGCACAATAAGTGTTCTTGAAAGCAAAATGAATATTGAATGAAAAATAGGCTTGAAAATGCTCAAACTTGAGGTTTGATGCTTTCTCTTTGATTCACTCTTGATTCTAATTGCTTGATGTTTCTTGTTGTTGATCAATGGCTTCTAAGCTTGCTTAAATACACCTTGAATCACTTCTGAACGTTGGGGATGATTAGAGAAGATAATATAGCCGTTTTAGTGTGAAAACAATTAATAAAACAACTTGGAGCGTGGGGGGAATCGGTACCCCCTATGGGGAATCGGTTCCCTAAGTGTAAAATTCAAATATTTCGACCGTTATACAAGGGGGAATCGGTACCCCCTGGGGGGAATCGGTTCCCTCCGAGCATACTGGAATTCTCGGAGCCAAACCATTCAGGGGGAATCAGTACCCCCTTGGGGGGGAATCAGTTCCCTCTGAGCAATCTGGAATTTTTGGCTTTTAAATGGTTCGAAATACTTTGTAAAATTATTTTGAAATTGTTTTAAGATTAAAACTTAATTTTACACTTGAGTAAGGATTAAAAATGATTTTTGAAAGATTTGGAGTAATGTTTTGATATTCGAATAGTTATATCGAATATACTTAGAAAATCATTTGGAAAATCTTAAAATTCATTTAACTTAATTTGTTATATCGAAATATCAAAATATTTTCAACAGATGTCTTGCTTTCTCTCTCGATTTTAGGGTACCAATATGATTTTGAGAGAGTATTCAATTGTGTTTTTTGGGTTGAAGATGGATTATGGAGTTTTCATTCAATCGTGATTTTGGGAATTTGTTTTTTCTCTTCGTGTTTTTAGGGACTAGGAATAAAATTAGGGTTTTATTTTTTTAGCCAGTGTAAATCTTTACTTTATTTTTTTTGGTCATGTCAATCGATTTACACATTAACAAAGATATCCCACGTGAAAACAGTTAGCAGACACGTCATCAGAAACTAACATTTCTGTTAGTCAATACGGCCAAAGGTAGAAATTGATTAAATTAAATAAATTCAAGGGCTAAATTGATGCGAAATTGATAATTTTGGTCTACTATAAGGGTATCTGTGACCCTTAAGCCTTAAGTTTTTAACGACGAGTATCAAAATAAAATATAAACTAAATGTTAGGCATAATTTAAAAAAATAAAGTTAAAGTACAAAAACGAAACAGAAGATATAATTTAAGTATTAAACATGTAGTTTACCCTCAAATTTATTGCTCTTGCTTCGCTTTCTCTTATATTTCTCCCTTCCTATGCTTCCTCCAAAAATTCGCCACACACGCCCTTAATCCCCTCTTTTTTCATATTTTGTTTTTGTCTGCGCTGCGCTAGGGTTTTATCTATTGTTCAAGGAATGGGGAGGCATCGGAGCCCGAGCAGAAGCTGCAGTCCTCGCCGTCGTAGCCGGACCCCTACACGTGAAAGGAAGAGGTATGACGATGACTCTCGCGATCGCCACCGATATCACCGTCGTCGATCCCCTCTTCCTTCCGGCTTGCTCATTCGCAATCTCCCTCTCGACGCTAGGTATTTATATCTCTGGCCCCATCCATTGATTCTTATTGACAGTGATTTTATTTAACTGTAACTTTGTTTAGGGTTTTGTTTAGTCGAATTATTTTCTCACGAGTACGTGTTAGAAGAGGGGGAATTTGAAATTTGTTTTATTTTCACGTCTTTTTAACTGAAATTTGTGTCGTATGAAGTTTCCTCATTGAGAAATAGATTCAGAAAAGTTTTATTTTTTTCCGCAGGCCAGAAGATCTTAGGGTTCCGTTTGAGCGGTATGGTCCGGTGAAGGATGTTTATCTGCCGAAAAATTATTACACAGGGTACGCCATTGCTCGGCGACTATGTTCATATGTCTGTGTTTGTTCTTTGATGTTTCAGCATTCAATTTTGGTTGTTTCTTTGTTGACGTTTGTACTACTTAGAATATAACACAATAAGATTATAATGTCCTTTTCTGAAATTGTCTTTCTATCCACTTGATGGCCTGCTGATATTTTGTTTTTAGTACCAATAAAGGTATCCGACTTGTTTTTTTTATAGAAAGGTATCCGACTTGTTAATTATAGGTAATAATTATTTGAATATGTAGGGAGCCACGGGGCTTCGGCTTTGTGAAGTTTCGTTATGGTGAAGATGCAGCTGAAGCAAAACAACGAATGAACCATCAAGTTATTGGTGGACGTGAGATAAGAATTGTTTTTGCTGAGGAAAATAGGAAAACACCCCAAGAAATGCGTGTCACTACCCGTGTGAGGTGCCACAGCACATTTCTCTGTTATACATTCCTCTGGTTATTTTCTTTCTCAATATCGGAATAAAATGCTGATGTGATCAATTATTGTTTATTCTTTCTTTTTTGTTTAAAGTGGTCGAGACAGGGGAAGCAGGAGATCACCACCTAGGTCCCCAAGACGCCGATATCGCTGTCAGTAAAAGAATTATGTTGCTTTTGTTTATCTTAACTTTTTAATAGATCCTATTACTAAGTAATGGCTTTGGAGGATAATTCTCTGTTTTAAAGTGAGATCAATTATTGCTTGTGGTCACAGCTTACTCTCGCTCACCATCACCTGCTAGGCATGATTCAAGGTTTGAATTTTTACGTATCAGATTTTTTATGTGCTCTTTTTAATGCGCAATTAGTGGCTCTTCTTGTTACATGACTCAACTCATTTACATATGTAATGACATAAAATGTTGACTATAAATTTCTATTGTTCTTGCTTTCGATTCGAATCATAGCTGTCAGTTGGACATGATGCGATACTCTTCAGTGAATATATGCTGTGGTGGCCTTGTTTATGCAGATAGTAAAGTGAAAAGATAAAGACTTATGGATTAATAAAGATTAAAGAGATCATAAAGTGGACACTTGATTTTCTATCAAAGCTTCTCCATAAGTATTATCTATAATCCCACCTTCACTGGATATTGACCACAAATTGCATGAGGTCTTGTTTTTGGACTTTGGGTTTATGAGGCGTGGTTCCATTGAATGAACTGACCAGCTAAAATGCTTGTGAGACGATTAGTATCCCAGGAGTATCTTATCTTTTTCTTTTGCATATGAGCTTCAAATTAGTGTTTTTCTTTTTCTTCCTTGCATGAGAAAATTTGTTAAGTTTGATGTCTTCTTTTCATATACTATCCAGTTAAGAAAGAAATTAGAGCTTATATTTGGTCAAAGAAAGCAAAGGAAGCCAAACAAAGTATTTACTTCTAGAGATTTGATGGCATTGTACAAGAAAAAGATAATATGATGTATATAAAGTTGGGGCAAAGAGAGCTATGAAGTTGTCAGATGCTGATCAACAAGTACAGCATTATAAAGCCTAATTCTCATTTTTTGGATCCATGATATATTTTGTTCATGAATACTGGAAATGTGCAGCAGTGCAGGTAAAGGTCAATATTTTAATCCGTTGATTTGTGTGAGGATGCTAGAAAAATTGTCCTTGGAAGAAGGTTTGCTTAGGAAGAATAGAAGAAATACTCCTTTTATACTTGCCTTTTAATTTTGTTACGTCAACAGAAATATCTGTTTGCCTTGGTACACATTGCATGTGTTAATTATTAGTTTCTCACACATTCTGTTTTTCACATGAAACTGGAGATAGGGATCAGAGAGGGAGAGATTATCATCGCTCCCCCAGGCAGTCTAGATCAGTTTCACAGGATCGTGCTGTGAGAGATGACTATCGGTCTCCCAGTCAGGCCAGATCCATGTCAAGGGATCGTGGGGCAAAAGATGATTATCGCTCTTCCAGACGACCTAGATCTGTTTCACGGTCTCTTTCTCCACATTCTCCACATGGTGACAGGGAATACAGAACCAAGCAGAGGTCCCCAAGTCCGAGGGAGAATGGCCAGAGTCCACATGATGAGAGAGGTCATGTGCGCAGCAGCCCAAAGAGTCCAAGGCGTGTCAATTGCAGTCCTTCAAGGTCTCGTTCAAGATCCTTGAGGTATGTTCTTTCCAAAATTGACATATTTTTTGAACGCCTAAAGGCCATATATGATTTGATACTTTCAATCCAAGCCCTGTGCAACAATTGATGTTAGGGTTTGTATGCTTTTTGTTTCTCCAGTCCTCGCTAGCAGCTTTGCAAATGATGGTGCCTTCTCATGGTGTCTTGCACGTGGTTACTGCTGGAAATTGTAAGTGTGTTTGTCTGGTGCTTTATATTTCCGTACAATTAGTACTATGAGGTAGTGTGGGTAGATTATGGGCATGTTCAAAGTCTAGCGGTTACCTCTTAATGTTGGAAGGATTTATCTATACTCTTTAGCATATTCGCACTTGATGGGAGTTGCCGTTTCTGACGCATCTTTTTCAATGCTTTTTTTCTTTCTATTTACTGGGTTTTGATCTAAGGGCTTGAAGAATCTAACAGAAGTTATCGTCAATGGTTGTGTTTTCTTAAACGACTGTTCCATCAGTGGTCTAAAGAAATCCAAGTTTATTATTTTTTTTAAAAATGAATTTTTTTATTCTAAATATTAGAAATAATATTTAATCTGTTCCTCTATATTAAAGGATTCCCATTGATAATACATTGATAACTGGCGTAAAATGGACAAATACGGTACTGCCGTAATGGTTGATGGTATTTCAGGCTTCTGCTTTCTTTTCCTTTCCCCTTGTTCTTTTTGTATGTTCTGTAATTTTATAGAATTTGTCTTCATTTAAAACATTTATAAATATCAATAACGACACAAGTATTTTATATCTATTAGGATGCATGTATGATAAATTATGTCATGAGCTAGTACGATCCAAAGTTAATAGGTTTGTTCCTGGCACTCGACCTTATGTCTTATACATGTTTCGGTAATAGTAAAACTAGAATAAAAATTTAAAAATATCATAAACTAAAAAAAGGATGAGTAAAAATAAAAAATTGAGTTATTCAAGTTGTGTTTGATGAATAAAATTGTATTTGAACTTTTTTGAAGTGAAATTCGTGTAGAGTTGAGTTGATTGGGTTTCGTACAAATTTATTGACCATTTTCCAAGTAGGCGAGGGATAATTGTAGAGAGGAGTCATGAGGTTGTGGCACTGTCTTGAGAAACAAAAAGCGGCTCATATGCTTCAATTTCAATCGTTAGCGGTGGAATAAGAAGCTTGGCTTCAAAAAGTTTCCCAAGACGATGGTTATGAATAGACAACAAAATCTATTAAAATTGTCATCATCGAAAATAATATTCACTTTTTTATTCGTGAAAGCCCTGCCGTACTTTTGGATGAAACTGAAACTGCCATTGAAGAATTGTCACGAGACATTGTGGTCACTTCTAGGTCATCGAAATCACCTTAACAGCATCTACCGGAAAGGCTCTTATATCATGTTGATTTACTTCTTTCATATGTAGACTCTTTGAACACCAGAAGAAGAAGATAAATATAAATAGAGAAGGAAACAAGTATAACAATGGGATCGCCCAACAAAGTAAAGAATGCAATGATTATAACAACGCAGGCAGTTACTGAATATTAATGTACATAAGAAAACGAGACACATTACGGAGGATACCTCTGAACATCTATAGAGAAAGAGAATGTACTAAAGGCCTTATCAGAAAGACCTTTTTATAGCCCATTTTCCCTTTATCAGAGAGCAGTAACATGTGAATGGACTATGGTTGCAACACAAATGGGGTACGGTTACAACAACAACATAACCAATTTGCCTCGAGTCAAATATTGACTTTAGTCCACTGGACTACATTCATTTGACCAACAGGGTCAAATATAGAGCTACACCCCTAACCTCAACATCCATATTCTTTTTAAAACCCAATTCCAAAAGAATCCGATTTTACCGTATTGAATAGAATCGGAACTCGGCAAATTCATATGTGACATCAAAAAGTAAAGATATTATTGACAAATTTGATAAACTTTGAAGGTCATTTATGACATTATAAATAAATTAATTTTACTAAATATACTAAAATTGAATTATAAAACCAACTTTGAAGAAAGGAAAAGCGCATGAATTAATAACTCATCATGAATTAAGTTTTACATAACCAGTCTCTTATCCATACAAAAGGGAGGCAATGCTGAATGCATTGAATGGGACAGTTTCTGTTCGATGCAAACAGGACCTGACTTATTAATTATTCAACCATGGAAGGCAAGATTGTTCGATCTACGCCGAACGCCTACAGCCAAAGTCAATCCAAAGGGCAAGCTTTCTCAAAGGCTTGCTGCTCTTTGCGACACAAATCAAACTCATTTGTGTGGTAGTACATGCATCCAACATAAGCTTCCATGGGATCTTTGCATCTCTCATACAGATCTTTTAGCCTGCACCACACTCAGTCCAACATTCCATAACTCAGCTAAAATTAAAATAGAAAATCATTATAGTAATACAAATTGTAGCTACTAGTTTCATGTGTGAATATGGAAAACGTAGTTTACCATAAAACCTTGTTTGAATCTTTGCTTTTCTTGAAGCATCAATTGTCTAAAAGTACCTATTTCTGATGCATATTCGTACGAAGGTACAAAGATATAGCCCTCCAAAGTTACTCCAAATACATTGAAAATCATAGAAGAACATATGACAATACAAATATCCGATGCTCACACTCGAGTTTGAGTGGCATAGAATAAGAACTGCAAAATATTTAGCTTTCAGGGCTTTGTTTTAAGCTACAAAATGCAGATATCCATAGTAAGAGAAAGTGGCAAATTGCTGGTATCCTACAAACTGGGAAGCCCCATTGTAATAATCAAAGACAAAGAAGAGGCCAAAACCTAATACAACTGTGATGTTTTTCCGTGAGTAGTAGATCTAAATCAGATTCAAACTAACATAAAAAGGAAGAAGAAACATCCGATTCTATGGCTTGGCTAAACTTGAAACTATTTTGCTTAATCACGCGGAGCCTAACATGGACTTGTTTTAAGTTTCGACTGCTAATCATAAAACAAATTTAGATCAATCAACGTGACACCAAAGTTAAATTCAGCAAAGCATCACATTTTAGCCGTTTGACCTAAATGAGTGATGATCATTTCCACAACCGAAGAGACTGGAGTTTAGACCTATGTTTCCTGTATTCAGGTGCGAGTCTGGATTCGAATATACTCAATTTTTAAAATGCATTTTCATGTATTGGATAATCATATTCCAGTACCTACATCCAAATATATGTCTGAAATCGATACTTTTACAAAAAAAAAAGCACTGAACCCCTTACTTCTAGCCACAATTGCATAGCATAAAACCTCCAAAAAGATAACCAATTCCAAATTCTCTAACAATGCTACATTTCCATTGAAGAAATTTGAAACCCTGACGCTAATTATCATCATATTCCAGTTTAATTCCTTTCCAATTCCAACATTATCTTATACGAAACAATTAAGCTATAAAACTCAAGAAAGGAGCTGAAAATTAAAAAGCTTACACTCTAAGCGCACATCGAGTAGCTTGGCGGCCCTTATCGAGACATTTCTCAGGGTTCGGATCTTTCTTCTTACACTTGATGAACTCCACGTTTTCGGACATACATTTGATTTCAATGTGCTTCGCGGCTGACATCAGCACAGATGATGTCGGGATCGGTTCCCCCGCCGCATCCACCACTTTCGTCGCCATTTTCCGCTGCCGAACTCTGAATAAATATCGCTTCTTTCTGTACCAATAAAGAAAACACTAAAAAGATCAAATTTTCAACACTTACAGATACAAAGAAAGAGAAAAATTATTAGAATTAATCTTGTACCCAAATAAATCAGTGGGTTTTGGCTTAAACAGTGCGAGAGAGGGGGAGAGAGAGAGATGGGGGATTTTGTAGTGGCAGTGAAGACTTTTTGCTTAAACAGGTGCAGGTTCGTAATTCCATTTTCTTTGAAGGGTATTTTCGTCGTTCCACGTTTTATGTTCCTAACTACCCTTAGCCCCAGAACCCTTGCTTTCTCCAGTTTCTTTGCTCTTTCTTTTCTTTTTCTCTTCAGCCAAACATCAAAGTAGCCTTTTCCCGAGACACTTTAGCGGTAAGTTAAATGTTTTTTGTTCTGATTTAATACTAAAGCTACTTCTTTGACTAGTTTTTTTAATATGTTTCTTATGGTTTTGTTATGGAGATAGTGTTGAATTTACTGAAATTTTTTAGAGATCTTCTAATTGATTTTAGACTGGACATGTCAAGCGTTTGAACTCGGAAAAAAATGTTTCATTTTTCTTTTCCACTTCATTGATGTAAAGGAAGTTTTCCTTTGCCCCATTTTTATTCACTCCTATTGGAGTGACCGTTCTCTGTTCTACTTACGACTATATATATATATTTGGATAAATCATATGACTGTATATGTTTTCGGCTTCATGTTCAGAATTACTGTGCAGACCCATTTTTTCTTCTGTAATGGATAAGATAAAGTAGCTGTACAAAACCATTATTGCATGACCACAATACCCACAATGATGTAATAGCATCCGCCATGTCCACAATTGCGATAAACACATCCAAAAATGGAACCGCAACCACAATTTAAATCCCTCGATGTATGGCATCAATAATCCACTTAATTTGTTTGGCTAGGGTGGTTTTGGAAATAAGAAAGAGAACCCTGAATTTCAAGCAATGTACTTTGCTCTCCCTCACCTTATTTAGGCGATGCCAGTAAGCCTGAGGATTTGGTGATAGGTTAACCCATTTTTGTTCTGAAATGGGTAGGATGTCAGGATTGACTATCACTTAAGTTGTTGGGGGTGGGGGTGGATATAATGAAGTAAAGGCCTGATTATCGAGCAATGTCCTTTGCATTCTAGACTTAATTAGCTGAAGCTAGTAAACTTGCAAAATGATAATTGATTAGCAATAGGGTGATTATCCACTATGACTTTATCTCCGAGATTCAGTGTTGTCAAGGAATTGTGCCTAAGAACCATGCAGCAGAAGTTCTTTTTTTATCTCTTTTGTTTTTACTTTTAACTCTTTCTATTAGTTGTGCCGTTACTAGTAAGAAAAGGATGATACGCTTCTTCATACTTTAGTATTAACATCAAACATGGGATCATTAGGATTTTTTCGTTTTGTCAATAAAAGAGAAGGGTAAATTTGCATGTTTTGTAGGTAAATTTGTTCACTCTTTGGAGTTTATTATCTTAATTATATATATGTTATGGACGTTTTTAGTGGAAGACTATGGCAAGTGAAGAAATTAGCTGGAACTTAGCTTAAATAGAATATTAGTTAAATAAGGTTTCTTCTTTAAAGTTTAAGTATTAATATCCCTATGAATGTGTAGTATTTCCTATTTTTCGTAATTTCTTAGTATAAACATTATAAACCTCTATTTAAGAGAGCTAATTTCTTATTGATGAAATAAGAAATAATTATTCTAAAACCTATGAGATTGAAGCTCTCACTTAATCAGGTCTAGGGCATCAACATGCCTTTGGTGAGTTGAAGCTTCCTACAAGATAAGTCGCTCAAGAAAGTAGAATGAGGGCACTAACCCTCATTGCAGTGTGATTTAATTGTGCATCGATCAGTGACTCAATCCATGTATAGGAAACTAAAAAATTGGCATAAGAGCCAAAGATTATCGACAGTGAAGGAACACGTGGGAAACTAAAGGCTCTGTTGGGAAAAATTTACCGAGTATTGCAGTTTGACCCTTCATTACAAGGTAATACTGTAGAAATTGAAGAAAGAACTAAGATATTAATGAGGGGAAAAACACCAGAATCTCATTGCCTTCCCCATTCCTGCAAAGTTTCTAAGTTAAGAAACTTCATTGTTTATGAATCTATTAGTCATTGAAGGTGAGCGGAGCTCAGTGAAAGAAATTGTTCAGGCCCGGCACTAATTGACTGGATTTGTTGGCCTTGAGGGGCCACCAATCTCATAGAGACTAATTATATGTTCTGAGTGCTGCATGATGTAGTGGTTTCTTTTGCTTTTGGTGTCACCATTGGACCTATTTGATGTTCGTGGTATGTATTTGGAACAAGCGTGTTTAAATCGTGTGCATCAAAAACTGTATGGGCAAAATATATTAAGTACAGTTTTATTCATATGTATATACAGAATGGAAGGATCCATGTTTTGTTCATCTTTTTTGAAAAGATCGTTTGTATTTTGTAAAAAAGCCTTCATCTCTACTGATTTGATTGTGTTTTCTCGTGTATATTTAGAAATGGGTGACAAGAAGAAGAAGACTTTTATGTTTATCCGCCTTGTCTCGGCTGCTGGGACTGGATTCTTCTATGTGAAGAGGAAAAGTGCTAAGAAAGTGGCTGAGAAACTCGAGTTCCGCAAGTACGATCCCCGGGTAAATCGCCATGTTCTTTTCACTGAACAAAAGATGAAATAAGGGAAACTGTTGTCTTTAATATGCATCCAGTGCGTACTGTTTTTGCATATAGAATAGAAGACTGTTGTGTTTAGTTACATCTGTTTAAGCCTTCTGAGGTTGCTTCATGAAGAACATGAATTATTTAAGTAACTTTTCAAGATATTTATACGGTAATTTTACTGGAATAATACCCATTTCAAATATAATTACGAAAATAACATTATTTTTGGAAATAATATTCATTTCAGTCGCGTATGCCATGTAAACTGGGAGCGCAATGTTTGAAGGTCTACTTCTGTTCTTGATATTTAATTCTAAATTGATTCTTACTTTTGTTCACATTTTATAACTTAATTGAATATTTTTTGTATTATAATATTTGTGATGGATTCGGTCTCTAAAAGATATAGTTATATTGAAATCGATCATTATTTTTATTTAATATTTTATGACTTAGATTAATAAATATTATATCTTATTTTTCTTAATGTAAGGTAAGTACAAAGGTAGTAACTAGGGGTGAGTAAAACTCAAATTGACTTGAAAAACTGAATTTTTTGACTCGATTTGACTCGAAAAAACTCAACTCGAATCGACTTCGAGTTCTAATTTCAAAAACTTGACTTGTCTCGAAAAAATTTCAAGTTCAAATCGAGTTGTAAAATGTAACTCGAATAACTCGAAATTTTTAGTAATTAGTAGATTTATTTTCAAGTTTGAGTCGAGTCTTTAGACTTTGTATGATATAAATATATCACATGTGAAAAAAATTGAAAACTATATTTGTATTATATATATGGTTATAGAAATCTCTTAAATTGGAATAAAATAATCTTATAAATATTTACAATTAAATTTAAAAAGAAACTCGAAAAATTGACTCGACTCGAAAAAATTTCAAATCAAATTCGAGTCATAAAATATGACTCGTCAACTCGAATAACTCAAAAAAATTTTACTCAACTCTATTCGATCGAACGCTCACCCCTAATAGTATATGTTTAAAGATAATTCTCAACCATTTGATATTGAACATTTATATCTTTGACATTTTTAGTGCTCAAACTCGAGACCTCAACGAATAATAACAATTTCTTTACCACCAAAATTTATTGATTCATATTGACTATTATATTAGATAAATTAATCTTTATTTTTGTTTAACATATTATAATTTAGTTTAATATTTTTAATATTATTAAATGGGTTTAGCATGGGAATTACAACAATTCCTTCGTTATTTTTATTAGATGGGTTTAGCACGGGAATGAATCCATTTGGTTGTACAATCGTACGTTTTTTCTTCTTATTTTTGTAAGGTTAAAAAGAATGGTTTAATCACCTTAAAGGTCATTGAACTTCTCATAGTTCATAAAAGAGAAAAAAATAAAAAATTTAATTTGATCCTCAAAATTACAAGACCCTGAATTTGAGTCGTGACAAAAGGTGCTTGTATTGAACTTTGAGTCTATGTCAGAGTTCAACTAGAAGGTTATGAATTAATTGGTGCCTCGTATATCTGTATTTATAATATATATCAATCCTCTTATAATATTTACTTGGATATCGTCTATGACAATATTCACAATTTTGAAACCTCACAAATCCAAATGAATCTCCAAATCCACCTCTATTGTCATTTTTCTATAATATATCCTCTTTAGACCGCTTTGGGGTCCAGAAAACGAGCAAGTAGAGTTAAATATGAATACTTCATGTTTTGATCCTTTTCCTTTTTATGTTTTTCATGCTCCTTATTGTAACACATCTAAATTAGATCTTATAATTTTTTTAATTTTTGATGATTGAAATTTATTTATTTTTTTGATACTCAGATTTAGGCCTGTAAACGAACCGAACGCATACGAACGGAGGTATGTTCATGTTCGTTTATTTAAAAAATAAACGAACATAAACGAACACGAACATAAACGAACAAAATTTTTTTGTTCATGTTCGTTTATTAAGGAATATAACTTGTTCATGTTCGTTCATTTAATAAATAAACGAATATAAACGAACACGAACATAAACGAACACGAACATAAACGTTGGAGACCCTAACTTCTATTGTTCTTTCATGAAAAATAGTCGACAATGCAAATCAACCAAATCTACAGTGATAAATAGCGTAAGAGCTAATTAGCAGTGATGAAATGTTTGAAGATATCAAATATTTAGATCGATCTTTTAAAGATATTAAATGATTCACACGACTTTAATTTAACGCTATAACATTTATCTTAGTGGTCCATGATTACATATGAACAATCATTTTCCACTACGTTATTCTAATAAATTCGCCTGCTAAAAGTTTTATGACATCAATGTCAGACTTTAGTGAGGTTTGTTAATAATGGTCATTTCCGTTCGCAGAGTAGAAAATTTAACAGCATGAAGATTTCGAACAGTACAAATTAGACTACAATGCAATAACATATATTCGAAATCCCTTCGATACTACATATCGTAACTGATATTATTGCTAAACCACCATTCAAAATTTTAACGTACCTAAAGTCTACTCCACAACTAAAGGTCGCACAAAAACTATGAAAACAAAAGTTCATTATCAAAATGTATTTTCTACTTATTAATGGGTTCTTCTTAGAAAACTCATTACTTCCGCTATTACACTCATTTTCAGAAATTGCATAGAAACCTTTGTTTTGTTTTCTGGCAAATTCTATATATTTTTCTCTTTACTGATGCTCATATACTTCCGATTGTTACCTTTATCTTCCCATCTATTTCTAGAAAGAAGTATGATGTTTTCTTGAGTTTTAGACGTGAAGATACTCGCAATAACTTTACATATAAACTATTAAGCCAAATAAAACAGAGAAAGAGATGAAAACAGACCTGTAAAACTTCAGATTGTACTATAATATAACTTGTTTTGAAGCTTTCATCGATCGTCTCCACTCTCTAGTGAACACTAGGGTTTGGGAAAAAAAGGGAAAATGAATATAGGTGTGAGGTGCCTCACGGGTTAACATATTGTATTTAATCTCCAAATAAAATTAGGTTAATCATGGAGTTGGTCATCAGAATATCAGATTAATTAATATTTTTAAGATACTTACAAATTGGTCACCAAAATTGATTTAAGAAGATTGGGTTAAACATAAATGAATGAACATAAACGAACATAAACGAATATAACTGAACGAACATTAACGAACATAACCGAACATTCACGAACGTAAATGAACGAACGAGACCTATGTTCATGTCGTTCATTTAATTAAACAAACACAAAATCTTGTTCATGTTCGTTCATTTAATAAATAAACACACATAAACGAACTTCCCGCCGCACGGTTCATGAACGGTTCGCTGAACGTTCAGTTCATTTACAGGCCTACTCATATTAAGTCTAAATTCATATGGTATCAATATTGTATAATACAACAAAAAACTGGGAATAAGACTAAAAAAAATCACTCCAAAACACTTCTAAACACTTGGGTTAAAGCCCTACATGATTCTTAAGGCTCATATTGATTGCTAAGGCGTCATCTAACATAATTTTTAACATTTTTAACGTCGAACCGTTCCTAAAATTATTAAAAACACACTAAACACTCAACATGCGACGTACCAACACAAGACACTATATTATGAAAATCATGAAGTATTTCAAGTTTTAAGTATTCCACCTTACTAAAATCACCAAAGGAACCTCATTGTTTTGCTCGCACAACTTTCTTATCCCCTCAAGCTTTTGAAGGTTATCCTCATTTTGCATCATCAATGGAAGATAATGGATTCATTTTAAAGCTTTTGAAATAGATTTTCATACTCCTATCTTCTTCAACCCAGATTGATGATCATTGAGATGAAAAAATAATTTCCTTCTAAGCTTAGGGGGCTAGAGTTTCATGAGAAGTACGAGGGAGATGGGAAGGGAGAAAGGATGAAGGAATGGGGTGAATGAGGTCACCCTGAAGCTTTTCACTCCTAAAATCTCACGTCGAAATGCAATAAATTCAATAGGAATCAGATTTGATTTCTCTAGATGGGAAAATTATGCTTTTATCTTTTCTCTTTTTCTTTTAATTCAATATCTCGTTTTACTAATTTTTTTTTTACTTTAATGATTTTTATATTTATCCTTATCCAATGAGAGATCGATCCTACAAGGGAGCCAGAGTGAAAAAGAAGACCCTTTTTATCCTTTGTCAATGGAGATCCATATGCATTATGGAATTTGCTTTGCTTCAACCCTTGTATGAACGCATGATAGGCATATGCACCAATGAGAAGTTGTCCCGTTGTTGCTGGTGATGATGTGGCACTTGATGGTTGACTGGCAAGTGTAGGCTTGGCTGGAATCCCAAAGGCGGCGAGGAGACCATTTCTCATCTAATGACGTGGCAGGTGTGGTGATGTAACAACTAACACCCTTGCTCCGGCATGTGTGAATGTGCTTAAAGGTTGTGTATGTGCTGCATGCGCGAGAGGTTAATGGAGCTTGGTGATAAAGAAATTGTTATTATTTTTTAAAGTTTTGGATTTGACCATTAGGAATGTAAGGAGTGTAAGCGTTCAATGTCAAATAGTTAAGAGTTGTCTCTGAACAGATACTATCTTATATTTATTTCAAATTAATCGAAAAAAATAATGGTCTTAAACGACATATCACGTAGGGCTTTGAGTGTCAGTAGGGTATATAATGGGTTTGTTGATCTTCTAAACTTCTTGTTGTCTTTGGACTTTGATAAATTTAGGGACAACCTGATCGAAAGCAGGCATGTTGTTTCAATTGCCTGAGATATTCAAATTAATTTTGGCATTGATTTTTTTATTTATGTGATTGGGCTTAGACTATTTGACTTTATTATCATCTTTTTGGTGTTTCATTTAGGCGTTGGTTTTTCAAAAAGAGAGTCCGTTCGAAAATGGGTCATTACATTGTCAAAAGGTCCCATTGGTTTTTGAGTACGCCTTCCCCCAAATGTATGTATAGGTTTAGGGTTATGTACCCCATACATATGGGAATTGGTTTTGTTGTTGTTGTTGTTGTATGTAGGT